AGGGCTGGCCCCTAAATTCTTTTTTTATTAATAGACTTTTTGAGAATAGTTTTCAATTTACAGAAAAATTGAGCAGCTAGGACACACAGTTTCCATATTCTCCCTCCCTGCAACACACCTATACATACACACACACCGTTTCCCTCATTAGTAACATCTTACTCTAGAAAGAGACATTTGTTACAATTAATGAACCCATATTGATACATTATTACTAACTAAAGCCCCTCCTTTACTCAGAATGCTCCAGTTTCCCCGTGATGTCCTATTTCTGGTCCAGGACCCCAAGTGACATTTAGTTGTCACATTTCCTTAGGCTCCTCTAGGCTGGGCAGTTTCTCGAGCTTTCCTTGGGTTTGATGACCTTGACACTCCCGAGGAGTACGGGGCATGCCTCCCAGAGGATGTCTCTGTCCTGGAAGGTTTCTGATTTTCCCCCTCATGATTAGATTGGCGTTATGGGGTTTGCGGGAAGAAGGGCACAGAGGCAAAGGGCCATTTTCATCACATCATATCAACCTAATTTATGACTGCTGATGTTGACCTTGATCACCTAGCCAGGCGACACAGTGGGTTTGTCAGTTTTCTCCACTGAAAAGTTACTTTTCCCCCCTCTTTCCGTGCTGTCCCTTTTGTAAGGAAGTCACACCTTGCAGCTCCAGCCCTCCTTGAGGATGATGTAATGACACAAAATATTTGGAATTCCTCTGCGCGTCAGGTTTGTCTTGTCCTTCACTTGTTAATGTATTCGATCACTTATTTATATCAGCATGGATGCACTGATATTTATTTTGTTCTTGGTGTTATAATCCAACACTGTATTAATTTTATCGCTCCACCTTTGGCCATCGGGAGCTCTTCCGGTCGGCTCCTGTGGAGCTCTGACATACCCCCACCATTCTCAGTGGCTCCTTGCTTTCCAGCACAATGCATATCTTTTTCAGTTTTATTTCCCCAAAAATGTGTTTTTATGGCATTTTATGGAGTGGGGAAAAAAGTAGTCCCTCACTAGAGGGAATTCAAGAAACATTCGCAAGACCTTCAGCATCTTCCTCTATGTGCCTCATTATACTCTGGCTACACTGATGTTCCCTGAGCACACCAAGCTTGTACCTGCCCCAGGGCCTTTGCACTGCAGTTCACTCTGCCTGGAAGGGTTTTCCTCTATCTGTTCCTTTTCATTATTCCTGTCTCTGCTCCATTTCCCCTTCCTTAAAGAAGCACCGCCCCCCCCCCCCCACACACACCCCCCAGCTAAAGCAGCGCCCACTCCGGATTGTCTCTAGCACTCTTGCTTTGATTTTTTATCATCCCAATATTTTGTCCCTTGCTGAAATGATCTTTTTGATGTATTTCTTTCTTGCCTCTAAATGTAAATGTCACAAGGACAGGGACAGCCCTTGGCATGCACAATATTTTTTTAAAAAATATTTCAGAAATGTCTCGCTGAGGTCCCTGGGGGTCTGATAATAATCTTCCACTGAGGCCAAATTTCAGAGAGGCCACCATGGGATGCTGTGTGAGGAGAAGGGGAGGGCAAAAACAGTGGCCCCACCCCAATGCCATCACTAAGCCCCCTGTGGGCTGGAGGTACAGAGAGGGGAAGCCAACCTTCCTCTGCTCTGAGATCCCCAGAGCTATGGGTCTCCCCTGACCCCATGTGAGGGTCACGGATGTTTCGAGAAGCTAAGTCAGCTTCAGAATGGAAGGGCGACATACTGGTCCAATGGGTGGACCCTGGATCCAGGTCACTTGGGCTCCAAGCCTCCTTCCATCCTCCTTGCCCTGTGACTTCGAGCTCTTGGCCTCAACTCTTCCATCTGTAGAATCATTACTAGAGTTGCTGTGGCAATTAAATGAGATTGCGCTGGGCATCTAATATCCTCAAAAATTGTCACCTGTTGGTATGATCCCCAAAGTGCACACACATGCAGAATTTGCAGATGATTTGGGGGGGGGAGTTCATACATCCCCCCAAACCTAGTCCTGAACCCTCGACCTACAAACCCTCTAGGTCATCCCCACCCACTCATAGCTTAATAACCAGGGCCTGTGTAATGAGTTGGGAGGCTGAGAGAGAAGGAGGCCCCACGGGAGGGAGGAAGCGGGAAGCAAGGACTTGGGGAGGACCAGAGCGGGGCTGCGGGGAGAGGGCCGTCCCGGGCACACAGGGGAGCCAGTGTGTCTGGAACTGCCTGGGCCCCAGGAACAGGCCCCCGGGGGCAGGTGGGACCGCAATTCCGCCGGCCTGCGTAGGTGGGGCGGTCCAGCCCAGCCGGGCGTTCCAGTCGGCCCGGTGTGGGGGCTGGGCCCGAGGAGGCCCCTGGCGCCCGGGGCGGGGGCACTGCGCCCAGCTCCTGCTCCGACACCGCCAGATGCCCCCAGGCCCTCCCAGCCGAGGACTGGCGAGCGCCTGCGGGCTCCTTCCCGGAGCGGCCAGCATGTGCTTGCGCGTTCACCGCGCGCACCCTGGCGTGTGCGCGCCCGGGAGCGTGTGCCAGCGAGCGGCCGGCGCGGCCTTCACCCCTGTTCGTCCTTGGGGTCCACAGAGGTCAAGAGAACCCTCCCAGGAAAAGCCAGCGCGTGTGTGAGCCGGCCGGAAAGGCCCTGTGCACAGGAGGGGCCAGGCGTGAGGGCACGCCCTTCTCTGCCAAGGGCGCCTCAGCAGGCCAGGAGCTCCGGAGACCCCCAGGGTGCCCTAGATGGGGAAACTGGGGAAACTGAGGCCCAGCGGGGAAAGGATGTTGTCCAGGTCTTTCAGGGACGCTGCGCCAGTAGCCGGGGCACGTGCATCCCTCACACCACACGTGTGCTCAAACTCATCCACACTGGTCCCTTTGTGCGCCCACACCCTCTCCTGCACCAACACATCCAGACAGGAGGGCCCACGCCCCAGCTCCCCCGGGGTGCACACACCCCCTGCCGGGTCACATACTCTGGACCATGAGACCCATGCCTCAGTCACACCTATGCGACGTATGTTAAAGGGACCCGGGAATTTCTACAAAGGCCGGGCTCAGGGACCACCATCTGGGGTGGGGGGCGGAACGGGGGTCTCAGGAGCTTGATTACTGAAGTGCTTTTTCATCTCATAGAATTTTATATAGTTAAGGAAACACTGATGGTTCACTGTGTGTGTGTGTGTGTGTGTGTGTATTAAAACCCCTCCGAGTAGTAAATGCACAAATTCACACTTACATTTCTTTACACGGAAGGCACTCCCCCGTCTCACTTACATATGACACACAAATGAATCTAGGTGCACAAAAATACTTACGCTTCCACACCCACAGAGCCATTCAAAACACAACTACTTACACACACCTACACACAACCACCATCATATATTCGCAGCCAGGCTCCTCAGACACCCACAAATACACCCGCATGTAAAGAAATATGTTCAGATGCTCAATTTACATTCAGAAAACAGATACACACACGTGCACCTTGTCACATTCACGCTCACACACAGATCCGTGGAAATAGCCGCAGATTCACACAGATGTAAACGCCAGCCTCACACACACAAATACTCTAAGAGCTACATGTCAAAACTCATGTGAACAGACAACACGCAAACCCAAACACATATGCACACTTAGACACACATGACTACACCCAGATATACACACCTAGATACACAGGCCCGTAAAGACCTAACACTGACCAACACAAACACTTGTGCGTTCACAATTACACACAGCTAAAAGGCACCAAGCAGATGTTTTCACACAAAACCGCGATGGAACACACAAACGCATATTAAATAAATATCTACAAAGAGGGCTCAGACATTTACAAATATGCCCATAACACCCACACAATTGTACTCCAGCACACAAATATCAGCCCTCACACACACAAATATATTCACACACTGACATACACAGACTCATACCACAAACACACACAAACATGCACACTCGCCCTCACAAAAATACCCAGAAATGGACATTTTTACACACGTATACCTACTTCCATGGTTTACACACCGTGTCACACTAGGCTGACACTATGTACTCCAACGCAGCCACCCACAAATACACTCCTATGTAAATACACATATATGTACAAAAATACCTTCCCAAACTGCCCCTTACGTACACACACTTGTGTGCATACAACCACATGCATATACTCGTGTACAAATGCACTTGCACACAAACATACCCCCACCTACACAGAACTGGAGCCCCTCCCAAATACTGCAGATATCACGAATACACCCGCAGACATTTGCAAACACACCCAGTCACAGAGGGACAACCACGCTCATAGACACAAGTAGGCACCCTCCTGCATAAATACACACGTGCTCAATTTCTCTCACATGCTCCTTCATCGACACTGATCACGCCCTTATACAAAACACAAGTATATTTAGATGCTCACAAATTTGCACACTCACAAATCCACTGACGAAACACAGGTACACACACGCTCACCACTCCTACAGACATCTACATAAGACAGATCCTTGTACACACAACACACATGCAAAACACGGCCACACACACGTACACGCGCTCTCATGCTCACACCCAGACATGCACACGCAGACACTCTCAAATACACTCATTCGCCACCCCAGTGCATTCAGGGACGCACACACAGACGCTCACAATACACCATCAGAAGCAGGTGCACCCACGCACACGCTGCTCACTGGCCACAACGCCAAGCCCGCACGGATGCTCACACTCGTATCTCAGGAGGCACCCTTGGGGCGGCACACACATCCGCAGGCAGAGGGTCCCTCATCCTCTCCGGTGCACGCGCGCGCGCGGGCGCACACACACACACACACACGCACACACTCCTCTGCAGCCTCCGGGGCCAGCACCCCAGTCCCGGCCCGCCCCACCCTGCGGGGAGCAGCGGGGCGGGGGACTCGCTCGGGGCCGGGGCCGGGCCGGGGGCGGGGGCGGGGCGCACCTGGGCTCCGCCCCGGGGCGGGGCCGACGCAGCGTCGCGAGCGCGAGCGGCCGCACCTGGCTCGGCGGCGGCGGTGGTGGCGGCGGCAGCGGTGGCGGCCCGGGTGCGAGCGCGGCGCAGCCCAGCCCGAGCGATCGCGGAGCGGGCGCCCGCAGCCCCGGCGCCGCCATGGTGGAGGCGGCGCCCCCCGGGCCCGGGCCGCTGCGGAGGACCTTCCTGGTGCCCGAGATCAAGTCGCTGGACCAGTACGATTTCTCGCGGGCCAAGGCGGCGGCCAGCCTGGCGTGGGTGCTGCGGGCCGCCTTCGGGGGCGCAGGTACCGGGCCGGGGGCGGCAGGTGCGGGGGGCGGGGCGCCGGGCCGGGGAGGCCGGGGCCGTGGGAACAATAGCGCCGATCGCCGGGGGTCCCCGGGCCGGGCCCGCCGCGCCGGGCCTCCGCGCTTCCTGCTCGGCCGGGCCGTGGACTTTGCCCGCCGGGCTGCGGGAGCGCGGTGGGGGTGGGGCCGGCGGCCCGGCTCCGCGCGGGGACCCCGGCGTCCGGGCCCCCAGGTGAGCGCGGCTCGGTCTGCGGGCCGGGTGGGCTCTGCCAGTGCGGGCCTTGCCTGGCACGCCCTCCCCCCTTTGCACACTCACATCACGCGCCCGCGAGGACCCCCCCACCTCGCCCGCCCCGCAGCCCGGACACACGGCCGGCGTCGGGCCTGCCTGCGCTGCGGGCGGCCAGGAGAGCTCCGGGCACCCCCTCTTTCGCCTCCATGGCTCCGGCCAGCGGCTGGCAGCTGTGACTTATTGCCTCATTTTGCCTAGCAGGCTGACGAGCCCAGGAGAAGGGAAACGGCTTATCCAAGATCGCCCGGGGAGGGGGGGGGGCCCAGGTGCAGGGCCTTCTCCCAGTGGGGCAGCCCCTCCTCTCGGTCCCCCAGGCCCACATGTGTGAAAAACGCGGGCCACCCCGAGTGGGAGGATGCAGGTGGGTCCCCAGGATTCTAGGCCGTGGGCTGGCTCAGTCAGGGCCCCAGGCCAGAGCTGGGGGCTAGGGCCTGGTGGTGGAGAAGACGGGGTTAATTAAGTTCTGGGCCCTCCGAGGGGGACGCCCTGCCCTCCCACTGGTCCTGCCCACTGGTCTTGGCACCAGCTGGGCACAGCCCATCCCCCCTCAGTGGCCTTCCCAGATGAACCTGTTCTGGGTGTGGGTCTCGGCGACAGCTGGCCATCTCCTGATGGTTCCACCTGTGTCTCTCCCTGCACCCTCCCATGGAGGGCCCACTCTGGGGCCTACCTATCCTGTAGGATCTGCTTAAGGAAGAAAGGGGGGTTGGAGGAGGGCCCCAGGTGGGCCCCAGGCCCTCACATCCCAGCTTAGGAGGCCACAGAGGGCTCCAGTGACTTTGGGAATCAGAGATGGATTTGCGTCCCAGCTCCACCAGAATGTGGACGGATTATGGCAATTCTCTTAAGCTTCTGCTTCCCGCTCTGTAAAAGAAGGCATCCATTCACTGCTTTATCCATTTTGCAAATGTCTCCGGGGCACCCACAAAGTGCCGGGGCCGAGCCTGGGCCATTGGGATCCCAGTATCTTCATCACAAGGCAGCTGGGAGGCGGAAGGGAGAAACCCACCACAGGGTCCTTCACGCTGTGTCTGGCACACGGGACACGCTCCACAAACGCTCACCACTGCTGCGGTGACTGGTGGTGGTATTTTGATTATTATTATTAATATTATTCATCCTCCCCTGGCCAGGGGACAGAGCAGAAATTACTATCCCATTTTGCAGAAAGGAAAGCGAGGTCCCCAGGAGATGCCCTCACTCGCTCAGTTCTGTTTCCACCGACCCAGCTCCCTGTGCTGTGTGACACCCTCACTGAGGGTCACATTCAGTTTGCCCCCCACCCACCTTCTCTAAACAGAGGGGGGCTGAGGAGGGTGAGACACCAGGCCCTGAGGGGGGAGCAGAGCTCTGGGACCCTTTACTGATGCCTGCTGGGTGCCTAGGACAGAGAGGAGAGGATGGGGATGGACGCGGGAGGGAGGGGGATGGGACATGAAACCAGATCACCCCTGCTCAGAGTGATAAGGTCTGTGACGCAGAGGTGTGCCCCGGGGCCCGGAGGACGAGATCCCTGAAATCTTCCAGGGTGGGGAAGAGAAGGGAAGGCTCCCCAGAGGAGGCGGGGTTTGAACCTTGAGAGACGTGTAGGAGTTTGCCAGGAGAGGAGACCACATGTCGGAAGGCCTAGGGTCTGGACCAACAGGGAGTTAGTTCTCCAAGAAGAATGCGCATCCCAGTGGTGGCCAGGGGAGACGAGAGGTGGGAGACGGGGAAAGCCTCTCAGGCCGTGGGTAGGGATCTGAGGGCACCGGGGAGCCATCGAAGGTGTTTGAGGACTGACAAGATGAGATGTGCAGTTGCCCCAAAGGGAATAGTGGCTGGGAAGGAGGTAGTTCTGGTGGCCCCAAGGCACAGGTATGAGGAGGCTGGACGGGAACGCAGGCAGGTGGGCTCAGCAGAACTCTAGGTCAGAGATGAGGAAGGGCGCCATCTTTAAGCAAGTTTGGGAAACACCACCTGCAGTCCCTTATGCCTTCAGAACATCAGTGTGACGCCCGGGAAACTGGGTTCATGTCGGCTCTGCCATTCACCAGCTGTGTGATCTGGGGCCAGTCATCTCAGCTCTCTGGTCCTTGGTTGTCTCCTCTGCACAGCGGGGAGAAGAAGAAATATGTGAGCAGTCAGTGAGCCAATGCGTGCAAGGTGATCGTGGTGTCAGTAAATGGCAGCTGGCCCCGAGAGCCGTGCTGTCCCAGGTGGTAGCCAGGAGGGACACGTGGCTGGTCCCAATCGCGAGGTGCTGTCAATACGCAGTGGCATCGAAGACTTGGGACAAAAAAGAGAATGTGGACTAGCTCGTGGATGTTTTTATGTTGATGACATGTAGCCCTGATCACGTTCCGGGTGTGTATCGGGTTAAATGGATTACTAAGTAAACGCTACCTGTCTCTTTTCTAATGGGGCTACTAGAAAGTAGAAAACTGTGACCGCGGCTCGCATGGTATTTCTCTTGGACGGCATTGCTCTGCGGTAAAGGGTCAGTAAACGCGTGGGACTAGGAGCGGTGGTTCTCAATGGGGGGCAGTGGCTGGAGGCATTTCGCTTGTCACTACTTGGGAAGAGCGTATCTCTGGCATCTAGTGGGGACAGACCAGACATTCTGCTAAACATCTCACAGTGCATGGGACACGGGACAGCCCCACACCCCAGCCACCGCCCAACACGAGGAATTAGCCAGACTCCAATGCAAATCGTGCCAAGGTGAAGAAACGCTGGCACGGACCTCGTGCTTGATCCACACTGGCTGTCAGTAGGCTCTAGCTCACGTTTTTTTTCATCTTGAAGGCCCTGACAAGGCCTGCAGGAAAGAAACTTGTTTCATTTTGCTGATGGCAGCAGGAAAGGACCAGCGGCTGGGGAGAGAGGGGGGAGGGTTTGGCTCCGGGAGATGCTGGGAGGTGGAAACCAGATGACTGGTTGGCTGTTGGAGGGGAGCATGAAGAAGGAGGGGTGGGGATTGCTCATTGCAGCAAGGACAGAGAGAAGGAGCGGGTCCCGGAGCAGGTCGCTGAGGGTCATGAGAGAAGCCTGGGCTGCCACAGGTGGGCCGTGGAAGCCATCAGAGTGCTGGACGGGGCGGGGGTGGGGCGGGATGTCCATTTACTAGGCTGCTCAGACAGAGCTGTCAGGAACCCCACAGGGAAGTGGCATGTGTGGAGGAGGCTGGACTTGATGGGAGAGAGAAAAAGATGGGAAGCTGGGGGATGCCAGGGGGAGAGAGGTTTCCAGAAGAAGGAGGCGTTGGGCAGAGAGCCCAGGTGAGATACGGGCCCACAGTTGCATGTTGGATGGCCCCTGCTGGCCTTGGGAGGCTGGGAACCAGGAGGGCAGGTTGGGGAGGGGTGAGGCGGAAGGAGGCAGGATCTGAAGAACTCTTCTTTCAAGGAGCTGACCTGGCGGGGGCAGAGAGCGAGAGCGGGCACCCCTCTCCACAGAAGTGGGGTGTTCAGCGGGGGAGGACCTGGGGCCGGGAGGGACTGAAGGCAAGGATGCCTGGGTCCTTGTGGGGGAGGGGGAGCCTCTGGGGGGCGTGGCTGGGCAAGATGTGGTTGTCCCGTTCAAAGGCTTCTGAGCAGTAGCACGCTGCCCGCGTTCTTTCAAACACCCAGGAGCCCCAATATACAAATAGCTGCTCTGACGGGAATAAGAGTGGAGGCCTCTCGGAACCCCCCATGAGGGCAGGTCCCCACACCGTGTTGGCCCCGGTCACCTCCTCCTCGACCTCCCCAGATCTTCCTGGCGGCTTGCTCCCGTCTTTCTTCTCTGCACCCTTGGGTCCTACTTGGGGCTCTGCCACCCACCTCTCTGTCCACAGGGGGCTTCCTCAGGCCTCTCCCTGAGGTGCCCTCCTGGGGGTGCCCCCAGTCTGCACCCCCTCCCCTGCTGCCTTGCCTGGACCCCCATCTCAGCTACCACCTTCTTCCCCCCACCTTCCCCTCACACCTCATGGGGACCTGGACGTCTCCCTCTGCCTTGCCCACCTCCTCCCTTCAGTCACCAAGTGCAGCCCCCTCACGCCCCTCACGCAGCCTGTCCACCTCCCCCTTTCTGTGCCCTGCCAGCCAGGCCCTGACTCTGCCGCTCATCTCACCCCGATGTCCAAGCTGAGAGGGTGGAGGGTCTGCCTCAGGCCCGGGCTGCAGTCCCAGCCGCAGCATGGCCCAGCTGTGTGGCCTGGGCACGTTACTTTCCTTCTCTGAGCTTTGGTTTCTCATCTGTAAAGCCTAGTTACCTACTGTGCCCTGGCCACTTCTTGAAGGATTGCCAGAAGGTGTGAAAAAGTCCACAGGGGTGGTGGGGGCACCCAGGGAGATGCATTAAACCATATTGTCATGATGATTGTTCATTTTCCCCCAAACCCTGCCCAACCGGCCTACACAATCTCCCTTCAGGGTCCAAGAGCCCACCTCCCGGCCTTTGTATGCGCCGACGCCACTGCCTGGAATACCGTCAGCCTTCCACTGGCAAACTTCTGCACACCCGGGAGTTATGTCTCGGCCCGGCCCCCACTCTCCCTTCCTGGGGCGTCCTCCCTAGTTCAGGCCTCCGCCCCTAGACTGGGGCCATGTGATGGTACGGGGTGGGAGTGCCCGCTGGACCCGACCCCGCTCACCGCCCACTACCGTCACCTCGCCCCCCAGAGCATGTGCCCTCGGAGCTGTGGGAGCCCTTCTACACGGACCAGTACGCGCAGGAGCACGTGAAGCCCCCGGTGACGCGGCTGCTGCTCTCGGCCGAGCTCTACTGCCGGGCCTGGCGCCAGGCGCTGCCGCAGCTCGAGACACCCCCCAGCCCCGCCGCCTTACTGGCCCTGCTGGCGCGGAGGGGCACGGTGCCCGCGCTGCCCGAGCGCCCAGTGCAGGAGGCCGACCTCAGGCACCAGCCCATCCTCATGGTAGGCCCTGCCTGTCGGGCCCCGCCCACCAGGCCTGGCCCCTCCCCTCCGCGCTCCTCCCACCACGCCTGGCTGCTCCCCACAGCGCTCTTCCCACCAGTCCTGGTTCCTCCCCTCAGGGCTCCTCCCACAGGCGTTGCTCCTCCCACTAGGCGTGTCTCCTCCCACCAGGCCTGGCTCCTCCCCTCATCACTCCTGCCACCAGGCCTGGCTCCTCCCCTTAGCACTCCTCCCATCAGGCCTGGCTCCTCCCCTCAGGGCTCCTCCCACCAGGCGTGGCTCCTCCCCAAGTGCTCCTCCCACCAGGCCTGGCTCCTCCCCTCAGAGCTCCTCCCACTAAGTGTGGCTGCTCCCACCAGGCCTGGCTCCTCCCCTCAGTGCTCCTCCCACCAGGCCTGGCTCCTCCCCACAGTGCTTCTCCCACCAGGCCTGGCTCCTCCCCTCACTGCTCCTCCCACCAGGCCTGGCTCCTCCCCTTAGCACTCCTCCCATCAGGCCTGGCTCCTCCCCTCAGGGCTCCTCCCACCAGGCGTGGCTCCTCCCCACAGTGCTTCTCCCACCAGGCCTGGCTCCTCCCCTCACTGCTCCTCCCACCAGGCCTGGCTCCTCCCCTCACTGCTCCTCCCACCAGGCCTGGCTCCTCCCCTTAGCACTCCTCCCACCAGGCCTGGCTCCTCCCAAATGATGCTGTCCTGGCCCTTGAAGACCTGCCTCCATGGCCCGCTTGTTCCTAAGGCCTACTTTGTGACCCCAAAGCCCGGCCCACCTGGAGTGGGTCTTCCTGGACACTATCCCATTTCCTTCCCCGAGGCCCCACCCACTAACCCTGGCCCCACCCCTCAAACACCTCCCACGTCGAGCCCTTCCCACCTCCAGGCTCTTCCTCCTCCTCCTCCTCCTCCCTCGGTGGCGGAGAGGAGCCTCCATCCCGCCTCTGGTCTCATCCTTCAGCCCTTGCCCCCACAGGGAGCCCACCTGGCTGTCATTGACGCTCTCATGGTTGCCTTCGCTTTGGAGTGGACAAAGACGGTGCCCGGTCCGTTGGCCCTGGCCAGCTTGGAGCACAAGCTCCTTTTCTGGGTGGACACGGTAGGCGAGGTTGGGCTGGGTTGGGTCTGCGGCCAGGGTCACCCAGTGACCCGAGCACTGACCTCTCCCTGCTCCCCAGACCATCCGGCGGCTGCAGGAGAAGACAGAACAGGAAGCCGCCCAGAGAGCATCTCCCGCGGCCCCTGCAGATGGGGTGGCCCCAGCGCAGCCCTCGGTGAGGCTGGGGTGATGGACGGACAGAAGGACGGATGAACCGAGGGCTGGGTGGGCAGGGCAGGGCTGCGTCTCGAGGCCATCCTGCATCGGGGGGCAGGGTGGGGGGTGCTGGAGGTGACTCTCTCTCTCTCTCTTTCTCTGTCTCTCTCTGTGTCCTCTCCCCTCTTTTCTGTGCCCACTCCTCCTGCTCTCTTCTCTGCCTCTCTGGCATCAGTGCCCCACACGCTGGTACTGGAAGCTGGTTCCTGTAAGTGGGGCTGTCTCTTCGCCCCGTCTGCCTGTCCCGCTTGTCGCTCTGTCTGTCTGTGTGTCTGTTTCTGCCTGCCTGTCTGCTCCCTCTCCTAGCCCCCCAGCTGTGAGCAAAGGAGGTGGGACCCCAACCCTCCATGAACCAAGGGAAGGGGGAGTCTCTGCTGTTAATTGAGAGGGTGGACCCTCTCCAGTTTCTGGACAGCGGGGATGGCCTCCCTAGCTGTTAACCAGCAGGGCGGAACTCCCTCTGCTTGCCCACGGTAGCCGAGGTGGGGAGACCCCTGGCGCTTCTGAAGGGAGGACCCTAGCCCGTCAGACATGTGGATCCTGACCCCAAAGGGCAGGGCACAGGGAGGTCCCCCTAGGCAAGAGGAAGACCCTCAGAGGCAGAAGAGGGTGGAAGAACCTTAAGATTAAGAAGGACAGATCTCAGCTTTGCGGCGGGGGGGGGGTTGTCCATCCCGGAAGCAAGGGAAATGTTACCACTGCAAGTGGGGGAGGCTCTGGGCTGGACGGGGTCCCCGCCTTTGCTCACTCCAGGGCCGCCTTCTCCCCACCCTGGGCCTGGGTTGGGGTTCCTCTCCTGCCTGCCTGCTTCCTTGCATCCTGTCCTTGAGCTGGGGCCTGGGTCTTTGCGGGGGGGGGGATTTCCTGCATGGGAGGCTGCTCTGTGGGGTCCCTCAGGGCTGGGAGGAGCTGGGGTCCCCAAAGCCGGCCAGAGTGCAGTCAGGGAGCTGGACGGCCAGGGCTCAGGACAGGGGTCAGGGCTTCCCCCACCCCCCGGAGGTGTGCTTGGGGGCCCAGCAAGTCAGCACCCCTCCCGCCCGCTGACGGCTGCTCCTCTCCCCCCCAGCACGCAATTGCCTTCTGTTTGAAGGAGTCGGGGAGCAAACCCCCCATGGTAATGTATCCCCCACCCCGGGGTCCCAGGAGTCCCTGTCCCCAGCCCCCGCTGCTGGCCTGGCTGCTCGCAGACACCTCTGCCTCTCGCTGCTGCCCTTCCCCTGCTCCAGGCTGGCCCCCCACTCTGGCTCTGGGGCCACTGGCTTCACGCCCCCCGTGGCGGAAACCCCAGGCCTCCCCGCCCAGCCTGCATGACCGCTGACCTGGGGGCCAGCCTGACCTCTGACCTGACCCTGCTCCCCCCACAGATCCGATACCGCAAGGACCGTGCCGTGGCCCGACGCGCCCCCTGCTTTCCAACAGTGACCAGCCTCCAGGACCTGGCAAGTGGGGCTGCGCTGGCCGCCACAATCCACTGCTATTGTCCCCAGCTGTTGCGACTGGAGGGTGAGCGAATGGGCCCTTGGGTGCCCTGCATCCTAAGACCCAACCCCCAGGCCTCTGTCTCCAGAGCATCTCAGTGATTATGAGCACAGCCTCCAGAATTGGCAGACTTGGGTTTGAACCTCTCTCTCTGATTAGCTGTGTGACCTCACCCAAGTGTCTAGATCTCTCTGCACTTCACATAATTCACTCCTGCAGCAAATATTTATCGAGTGCAAACTGTGTGCCAGACCCCGTTTTAGGCTCCGGGGATCCCGCGAGAACAGTACAGACTCACTCCTGACCTCAGGCGGCTCATGTCTTAGGAGCGAGAGAAAGACAATAAGTTTATCCAGAAGAATGTTCTGGATGTTACATGCCCCAAAGGGCGCTGGGTGGTCAGGAGAAACCTTGTGAGTTGAGTTCTTGGGGGACTCGCGCTCCAGGGGGTGGGAACAGCAGAAGCAAAGGAACAGCCTATCACAGGACCACCTCTTGAAGGGCACCTGGCGGGAGGCCTGTAGGAGGTCCTCTGTGTATGCTGGTGGCCGGGCCCTCGGTTCCCCATCCTCCTTCCCGTAGAGTAGTCGGAGACCCAGGCTTCTGTCCCTGCAGAGGTGTGCCTCAAAGACCCCATGTCTGTGGCGGACAGCCTGTACAACCTCCAGCTGGTGCAGGATTTCTGCGCCTGCCGCCTTCCTCGTGGCTGCCCGCTGTCTCTCGAAGACCTGCTTTATGTCCCACCGCCCCTCAAGGTAAGGCCGTCTCGGGGCCTCGAGGTGGGTGTCCAGGGCTGTGGGTCCCCTTGCTGACCCTGCCTTCCACCCCCAGATCAACCTGGTGGTGCTGCTGGCCGAGATGTTCATGTGCTTCGAGGTGCTCAAACCCGACTTCGTGCAGGCCAAGGACCTGCCTGACAGTCACGGTGAGGCCCGGCCTGGGATGGGGTGGGGGTGGGGAGGCCAAGCCCCACCTGACCCTCCTCTCTGTGCTGCAGCTGCCTCCCCCCGGGCCATGGAGGCCTCCACCCCTCAGAACGGCAGTGGCAGCAGGTATGGTTGCCCACTGGGCGAGTCCCCACCGCAGGATGGGCTCCTCCACCTGGCTGGGCGCCGGGATGGGGCTGGGGATGCTCCGGTTTGCACCCCTGGGAGAGATGAGGGCCCCCCCCACGGGAGAGGTGACGGGGGTTCCTGTGGCTGACGTGCTTCTCTCGGCAGTTCTCCTGTCTTCAACTTCCGCCACCCTCTCCTGTCATCTGGCAGCCCCCAGTCCCCACTCCGTGGATCTACAGGTGAGGGCAGGGGATGGCTTGTCACCGAGAACCCCACCCAAAGACTGTCCCAGCGGGCCTCCTGTTTTCTCCTCCTGACCCCTCCATTGGGTCTCTCTGGCACCTGAATGTCCCCACAGTGACACTCACTGACCCCCACAGTGACGTCCCCAGTGGCTGGGCAGGACCCCCTGGGAACAACAAATGGCCCCCAGCTATCTGTCCACATAATGACCCATCAGTGACTCACCCAGTGACAGCTCCTGGCTGATCCCACCCAGGGTCCCCAGTGACTCCATAGTGACCACTGAGTGACCACCATTGCCCCTCCCCAGGCTCGCTGAAGTCCTCCCCGTCCATGTCCCACATGGAGGCCCTCGGCAAGGCCTGGAACCGTCAGCTCAGGTGAGCACATCTCCAGGGCCCAGGCGGTGGAGCGGGCTGGGCCGGGGTGGGGCGGGGCTTGTCCCAGGGGCTGACCCCTCCCTCCGGCCGCCCAGCCGTCCCCTTTCCCAGGCCGTCTCGTTCAGCACCCCCTTTGGCCTGGACAGCGACGTGGATGTTGTCATGGGAGACCCCGTCCTCCTGCGCTCCGCCAGCTCGGACAGCCTGGGTCCCCCGCGCTCCGTGCCCGCCCGGACCCCCGCCCAGCCACCCCCGGAGCCTGGTGACCTGCCCACCATCGAGGAGGCCCTACAGATCATCCACAGTGCCGAGCCCCGGCTGCTCCCGGATGGGGCTGCCGACGGCAGCTTCTACCTCCACTCCCCGGAGGGGCCCTCCAAACTGCCACTGGCCTCCCCGTACCCGCCCGAGGGGGCCTCAAAACCACTGCCCGATGGGCCCACCAAAGCACCCGTCTACTTGCCCCACCCCGAGGGCCCCTTGAAACCGTCTCCCTGCCCAGCCGGGGAGGTATCGAAACTGCCAGCCCTGTCTGAGGGCTCCCCAAAGGCGGCGGCTTCGTCCCCGGCGGCCAGCAACTCGGAAGTGAAGATGACCAGCTTTGCTGAACGCAAGAAGCAGCTAGTGAAGGCCGAGCCCGAGGCTGGGTCCCCGGCAGCCGGCTCAGCGGCCCCGGAGGCCCTGAGCTCGGAGATGAGTGAGCTTGGAGCCCGGCTAGAGGAGAAGCGCCGGGCTATAGAAGCGCAGAAGCGCCGGATCGAGGCCATCTTTGCCAAGCACCGGCAGCGCCTGGGCAAGAGCGCCTTCCTGCAGGTGCAGCCCCGGGAGGCCGGCGGGGAGGTGGAGGTGGAGGAGGAGCTGGGCCCGGCCTCTGGTGGGGAGCGGCCAGCAGGCGAGGGCCAGGGCGAGCCGGCCCCACGGCCCAAGGCAGTGACCTTCTCGCCAGAACTGGGCCCGGCGCCCCCCGAGGGGCTGGGGGACTACAACCGGGCCGTCAGCAAGCTGAGCGCCGCCTTGAGCTCGCTGCAGCGGGACATGCAGAGGCTCACGGACCAGCAGCAGCGGCTCCTGGCCCCACCCGAGGCCCCCGCGCCGGCCCCGCCGCCCGCCGCGTGGGTCATCCCTGGCCCCACGACGGGTCCCAAAGCCGCGTCCCCCAGCCCTGCCCGGCGCGCCCCAGCCGCCCGGCGCAGCCCCGGGCCCGGCCCCAGCCCGACACCCCGCAGCCCGAAGCATGCACGGCCAGCGGAGCTGCGGCTGGCGCCCCTGACGAGGGTGCTCACGCCTCCCCACGATGTAGACAGCCTCCCCCACCTGCGCAAGTTCTCGCCGAGCCAGGTGCCTGTGCAGACACGCTCCTCTATCCTCCTGGCGGAGCGGCCGCCTCCTGAGGAGCCTGCGGCCCGGCCCGGCCTCATCGAGATCCCACTGGGCAGCCTGGGAGAGCCCCCGGCCGAGGATGAGGGAGACGGGAGCCCCCCTGGGGCTGAGGACTCCTTAGAGGAAGAGGCGTCTTCAGAGGGAGAGCCCCGAGCTGGGCTGGGCTTCTTCTATAAGGTGAGTCAAGAGAGCAGGTGGGGGAGGGGCCAGAGGTGGGGGTGGGGGCGCGGGTGGATGGACAGATGGTCATGGAGTGGGGAGGTGGGTGGGTGGGTGGACAGACAGGCGGGTGGACAGGTGGTCGGACGGATAGGGCTTTCCTGCTGGATGGCAGATGGACAGAAGGTACGTGGGCAGAAGGACAGATAGATGGAGCTGGCAGAAGGAGAGAAGGTGGGTGGATGGGTGAGTGGGGAGCCAGGTGGGAGTGGGCAAACAGATAAGATGTGTGTGGCCAGACGGGCAGATAGATGGGGTGGGTGGAGGACAGGGTAGATGGGTAGGTAGGCAGATGGTGGATGGGTGGGCAATGGACAGATGGACAGGAATGGGTGGATGGACAGACAGGACTAGGGTCTTCCATGGCATCTCCTCCCTCTTGCTCTCTCCTTCACACCCCGCCCCCAGCACAGCCCCACCTGCTCCCCTTCCTGACCCTGTTCTGTGGCCGGTCACTCTTTTCCATCCTCATGGCACCCCCAGCCTGGGCTGCTGTGTCTCACCCGGACACCTGCAGTCCAGTCCTGACTGGTCTACCACACACCCCCTCACCACACACCCATCCCTAGATATTTTCAACGGAGCAGAGATTTTTTTTTTTAATGCAAATTGGACCTTGTTGCTCATCTATTTAAAACCCTTCTGTAGCCCCCTTATTAGAATAAAGGTTCTTTCCAGGGCCTTAGGCTTTGCTCACCTCTGACTTGTCCTCTGCCATTCTCCCCAGCTCTCTGTCCAGCCACACTGGCCTCCCTGCTGTTCCACACTCTCCACCCTCACTAGGCTTATTCTGGCCCCAGGGCCTTTGCACTTGCTGTTCCTGCTGCTTGAACCAGTCTCCTCACCCCTCACCCCCACCCAGTTAAGTCTTCCTCATCATTCTCGGGGGCTGCTTCCACCAGGAAGCCTCGCTTGGTGCCCCAGGCTGATAGGTCCCTCCCCACGGTGGAGACGGGTAGCTGTTCTTGCTGGTGTTTACCATTGTCAGTGTGACACCAGATTGTCTTCCCTGCTGCATTAAGCACTTCGTGTGAACAGCACTAGGTCTGCCCCATCCCTGTCATGCCCCACAGCATGGGGCTGTGCATAAAGTAGGTGCCGACTAAATGCCTTCAGAACAGTTACAGAATCCCAAGGACAGGTGAGTGGCTGGCAGGCTGGGTCAGCGGAATGTGCGACCCCAGCTGTGCCGGCGAGGGGGCAGCCAGCTGGACTCGTGCGTGCCCCCAGGATGAAGACAAGCCTGAGGACGAGATGGCTCAGAAGCGGGCCAGCCTGCTGGAGCGCCAGCAGCGGCGGGCGGAGGAGGCCCGGCGGCGGAGGCAGTGGCAGGAGGCCGAGAGGGAGCAGCGCCGGGAGGAGGCCGCGCGGTGAGGCTGGGCCTGGCCCGGGGACCCAGCCGCCGGCGACCCCACGACCCCTCTGACTGCTTGCTCTCCCCCATCTGCAGGCTGGCCCAGGAGGAGGCGGCCCCTGGGCCCCCGGCCCCCCCAGCCCCTGCGGCGACCCCGGCCCCTGCTGCCAGGGCCCCGGCCGAGGAGGAGGTGGGCCCCCGGCGCGGGGAGTTCACGCGGCTGGAGTACGAGCGACGGGCCCAGCTGAAGCTGATGGATGACCTCGATAAGGTGCTGCGGCCCCGGGCTGCGGGGACAGGGGGCCCAGGCCGGGGTGGACGCAGGGCCCCCCGGCCACGCTCTGGTTGCTGTGATGATTCGGCCCTGGCACGGAGCCCGGCCCGCGGCCTGCTGGGTGAGGACCCTGTGGGGTGGGGCCTGCCAGCACCCTTCCAGGCAGGGGGGGCCGCCCAGAGGGAGGCGGAGGGCTGCAGCGAGAATGAGGAGGTGTGGGCAGAGCCGGCCCAGGGTGCTCTCCTCGGCTGGAGGAGGACACCCCTCGGGATGTCTGGGGCCAAGGGACTTCCGGGGGGGGGGGCCACCCACGTGCTGCTTCCGCACAGCCTGCCGGGCAAAGCTCATGCCCCCAGCCATGGGGGAAGGGAGTCCATCTCAAGGGGGCAAACGGGGTGAGGGTCTCGGGCAGGGCTGCCCCCACTTTCCCTCCCCAGCCTGCCCGGTAAGGCCCCCAAGGGCATCTGTGGAGGCAAAGGGGCTTTGTGTGGGGCCTGACCCAGTGCCCTCCACTCCCAGGCTCTCGGCTCAGCAAGGTCTACTCCCAGTCCACGCTGTCACTGTCCACCGTGGCCAACGAGGCCAACAACCTAGGCGTGAAGAGGCCCACGTCTCGGTGAGCTCAGCGGGGCAGGTGGCCCCGTGGAGTCTGCGTGCGCGCTGACGAGTGTGATGTGGCATGAATGTGTGTATATGTCACCGAAGGGATGGAAGGGCACATCCGTGTGCCCAGTGCCAGTGGGACCGTCTGTGCCAGAAGGAGGGCCCAAGAACGGGCCTCTGGGCACCTGGCTGCGTGCTGAGCGGGACTGAGGCGGGGAGAGCTCGAGAGGACACTGTGTGGACTTGGGAGTGCGTAAAGCATACGTGTACGTCTCCCCATCTGCGGAATGTTCTAGGCTTGCCCATCCCATCCCTTCCCCCTGCAGGGCTCCCTCCCCCTCCGGCCTCATGTCCCCGAGCCGCCTGCCTGGCAGCCGAGAACGGGACTGGGAGAATGGCAGCAACGCCTCCTCCCCGGCGTCGGTCCCGGAGTACACAGGTAGGTGGGACGCAGGGGGGCGAGCACCGCCTGTTCCCTGTCCCCTGGTCCTCCCTGCTGACCACCCTGTCCCCCAGGTCCGCGGCTGTACAAGGAGCCCAGTGCCAAGTCCAACAAGTTCATCATCCACAACGCCCTGTCCCACTGCTGCCTGGCGGGCAAGGTGAACGAGCCGCAGAAGAACCGCATTCTCGAGGTGAGCCTGCGCTTGGGGGCATGGGGCGGGGGGGTCACGGGGGCCCTGCCGCCAGCTGACCGCTCCTGCCACCCGCCAGGAAATCGAGAAGAGCAAGGCCAACCACTTCCTGATCCTCTTCCGCGACTCGAGCTGCCAGTTCCGGGCCCTCTACACGCTGTCGGGGGAGACGGAGGAGCTGTCGCGGCTGGCGGGCTACGGCCCGCGGACAGTGACGCCCGCCATGGTGGAGGGCATCTACAAGTACAACTCGGACCGCAAGCGCTTCACGCAGATCCCTGCCAAGACCATGTCCATGAGCGTGGATGCCTTCACCATCCAGGGTCACCTCTGGCAGGGCAAGAAGCCCACCACCCCCAAGAAGGGCGGCAGCACCCCCAAATAGCCCGTCCCAGGTGGGCTGGCCGCCGCCCTGCTGGAGGACCGCCAGTCGGCATTCTCGGGTCCTGTGTGTCCCCGACTTTGTCCGGGTGGGGCTGGAGTCTCCACCCCCTAACTTCCGTCCCGTCCTGCTGTGGGGGCTGAGCTGGGAGGTTCAGGGACTCAGGGCTCAGCTCGGTCCCCTGTCTGTCCTCCCCACCTTCTTGAATAAAATAATTTAAAGAGAGCTGGTGCGCTGGCATCACCCCGAGGCTGGCTGGGGTGCTCGGGGACACCTGGGCCTGCGAGTTTTCCACACGCACCGGCCCTTTCCTGTCTGCTGTTTGCTCTGGAATCTACTCCAGCCTCTCCTCCGCCCCCTCGAGGGCTCTGACGCAGCTCCTGCTGAGGGCCGGCACGCCTTCCCTGCCAGCGCCCCTTCAGTGACGTCCTGGGCCCGTGAGGCCTCTGACCAGCCCTCCCCGCCCGTGGCCTCCTGCCCCCATGGCTGCTTCCTCTTTGGTCAGCCTGTTATTATGGGCCTCTCCTGGCGTTCGGCCAACTGCTACACTCGATCTTCTCTCCCCAAGCCGCCTGCCTATGTCTCCAGGCTCAGTTACCACCTCTGGGCCAGGATGCCCGTGTTTCTCTCCTCTGAGCTCCGTGTCTGAGGGTCCAGTTGCCTCCTTGGCACGGCCACTGGACGTCTCAGGTGTTGGACCTACGGCCCAAGCTCGAGCCGGGCGGAGCTCCGGGTCTCCGTGCGGCTCAGGTGTGGGCCCAGCCTCACTTTCTAAAGGCCTCTTCTGTTTCACTCCACTCTCTGCGTCCCCGCGCCCGCCCCCGAGGCCACGCCCACAGCCTGGGCCTCCTACATCCCGAGCTCCCTCCTGCCACAAGCCAATCCCGTACAGCAGCCTGCGTGGCCTGTTCGGGGCACAAATCTGATTAAGTCCCTGAACGCTTAAAATCCCTTAATAGCTTGGAGCCCGCTAATGGCTTCCCAGAGCTTAAGACTAAAGACCACACCCTGGCCGTGGCCTGTGGCCGAGGTCTGGTTCCTGGCTGCTGTCCAGGGAGAGAGGGACCCTGCTAAGCTCACAGCTGGACCAGGGACTGCCTGCCTCCAGAGCTCACTGACCGAGGGGAGGTGGGCCCTCGCCCAGGGAAAAGGGTTTGCGGAGGCGGCTGGGAATCGACCTGTGATGGTGGGGGTGGGGAGAGAGCTGCTCTAGGGGCAAGGGCTGGCGAGACCTGGGCGACTGGGGGCAAGGCCCCCAGGCTTGGGGCTCAAAGCAGCCTCAGGTGGCAGAGAGGCTGGCCTCTCAGAGTCCAGAACTGGCTCTGCAGGGTGAGGGTGGAGCGTGTGCCCTGGCCTGATGCCCGGCTGCCCCACCTCCCGCACTAGCCAATCTGGGGGTGGGGGGAGCCGGGCCCGGGGCCAGGGCGTCACCGAGCTGGCACTCCCTACAGGCACCTGGGCAGCAGGAGGGGCGGGCAGGAAGGAGGCTCAGACCATGACGTACAAATGGAGGCTTCATTGCGGGAGGGGTGAGGTGGGGCAGCAGGGTGGGGTGTGCGGGGGTCAGTCTTCCTTCAGGCTCCCGAAGACGGCGGCCGGCACGCTCTGCTGCTCCAGCCGAACCTCTGGGCGGGGAGGGGAGGACACGGTCACTCTCCAGGAGGGGCCCTCCCCTGCCTCTGCCCCACCACCCTGCCTGGCTGGCTGGCCCCTCACCGTTGGGCTCCAGGTCCATCTCATCCTCGTCCTCGTCCTCGCCCAGCTCGATCTCCTCAGGGTTGGCTTGCTGTGCCAGCTCGGCCAGCTCCTCCCGGGAGGCGTCGCTCCTGGGGGTGGGCGGGGGCGGGGCACACTGCTGAGCTGGGCCCAGCCCCCCCTCCCAGCCCCAGCCCCAGCCCCCCGCTCTCACCTCACGAACAGGATCTTGCTCTGGGCCCGCGGGGGCTGATCCCGCTCCGCCTCGGCCGCCAGCTGCTCCGCCCGCTGCTCCAGCAGTTTCATGTCGTCCATGCCGCTCTGCCCAGGGGCGAGGTCAGACACTGGTGGGGGAAGGTGGGCATCAGATGCCATGGGCAGGCCCTCTCCACAGCCACACCAGGCCCTGCCACCCTCGCTCTGGTGCGCTGGGCGCCCAGCTGTCCTCGAGGCCCCAGCCTTCAAGCTCCCAGTCTGAGGGAGAAGCAGAGTCGGGCCCCACTGCTCGCAGTCCCAGGAGGTCAAGGCTGGGCCGACAGGCCCTGAGACGGGGGAACATGTCGCCCCAGGGCGAGCCCGGCCGAGGCCAGGGGTGGCCCGCAGCTGCTCACCAGTACCCGTGGCGCTGCCCGACACCTTGAGCATCTGTGAGGCCATGAAGTTGACCTGCGTGTTGTACGTGGCCTGCACGCTGCGGCGGATCCGCAGCATCTCCCGGATGGTGTCCTCGTTGCCATGTCGGACCTCGAAGTCCTTCCACGTTTGCCAGAAAGCCCCAGTCGTCTGTGGAGAGGGTCTACACGTAAGCTGGCTGGCTCGGCCGCAGCCTCCCAGAGCCCACCCGCCCGCCGGCGGATCCATCCCTACCCGGGGGTCGCAGATCTGGGAGCAGAAGCTGTAGATGGCCCGTGCGCGGTCGATCTCCCCAAGCTTGCACTCCATGTCCGCAAACCGCAGGCACATCTCCCGCGCGTGCTCGTCCGACAGCACCTGGATGACGGTGGGGTCAGAGCAGGCAGGGTGGGAGGCAGGAGGGGCGCCCCTCTTGGGAGAGCTCAGGTGGTTCCCAACACACCAGGCTGGCCCCTTCCCAAACGCCCCTCCCAGCCCCCACGCGTAGGCACGCTCCGATCCCCCAGCTTGCAGGACCCTCCCACCCCTGCGGCAGGCACCTCGATGGCCTTCTGGTAGATGCCGCGCGTGTGGGTGACCCCGTAGATCTCGGCGGCCCGCTTGATGTAGATGTTGAACATGTCGTACTGCTGGGCGGGCTCCACGGCCCTGGTGGCGCGCTCGTACACGGCCATGGCGTGCCGCGCCAGGCCCCACTCCTCCTCCAGCTGCGCGTACAGCAGGTAGAGCGCTGCAGAGGGACGGGAGCGCCCGCCGTCAGAGGGCAGTGGCCCCGCCCACGACGCCCCTCCCCACACCCTCCGCCCAGCCCGCGGGGCCCTCCTCACTCTTGGCGTGTTTGGGAGGGCAGCCATCCAGCGCCTGTTCAAAGAGGTCCCGCGCCCGCTCCAGCTTGCGGCCCCCGTAGCGGGCGATGAACTTGGTCAGGTAGGTGCTCCAGATGTCGGACACGTTGGGCCACTTGAACAGCGAGATGCCGCGCTCGTACGCCTGCCGCGAGATGGGGGGCGTGTGAGTCTCAGGGTGACTTCACCTGGCACCCAGTCCGCCAGGAGACTCCTTCAAGCTTGGTGAGCGGGCCCCCTCCTGTCCACCCCTCCCCACTGTGGCCCTCCCCGCCATCACGGTGCTGGCAGGGGGGCCGTGCTGCCCGTCTGCCTCAACAGACTGCAAGAACCCCAAGGACAGGGCGGGACTAGGACTCAGTAAGTCACTAGTGGGGGATGTTGTGGGTGAAGAGGGGGTGGACCCTCAGCTCTGCGGACACTGGAGTCCAGGCCGAGGGGCAGGGCCTGTCACTCAGGCAGGGGCGGCACACGTGCATAGGGACGACTGCCCTGTCCGTGAACATGCGTCATCTCCACACCCACACAACCAAAACCCCAGGGTGGGGCAGGGCCTCACCATGGGTACACGTGCATAAGACACCTACGACCCGCGGCCTGAGCGGCAGGGCACCTACAACAACACCCTCCCCCACCTCATACACACACAGAGGCGGGACTCAGTGCCTGTGATGCGCTGAACGGCGTCTCCTGAAATTCACGCTGAAGCCCTAACCCCTGGGACCTCAAGTGATGTCTGTGTTTGAAGATAAGATCTTGAAAGAGGTAACTGAGCCAAAACGAGGTCACTAGGATGGACTCCAACACGACTAACGTCCCCATAAGAAGAGACTCGGAGACACAGAGAGACAGCAGAAACACACACCAACAGAGATGCCCACGTGAGGACGCAGTGAGGATGGCCGGCTACAAGCCAAGGAGAGAGGCCTCGGGAGAAACTGGCCCGGCCGACCCCTTGATCTTGGATGTCCAGCCTCCAGGATTGGGAGGAGATATATCTCTGTTGATTGAGCCTCTCAGTCTGTGGTACTTGGTTACGGAGGACCAAGTGCATGAACACAGTGCCCGGGGCCCCTAGGGAGGGGACACTGCCACCCGCGCCCCCTCACCTTAAAGCTCTCCTCGAAGTACTTGTGCTCCTCCAGGAACATGGCGTAGTTGATGACGATCTGGGGAGTTGCGATGCGCAGGTCCAGGATGCGGTCATACACGGCCTTGGTGGACTGCAGGGGGAGTGGGGGCTGAGTCGGTGGCCTTGTCCCTCCCCTGCCACAGGCCCGCGGCCCGTCCCTTCCCGGCAGCTCACCTGGAAGGTGCCGAGGCTCTCCTCCAGGTCAGCGAGCATCGACCACACCTTCAGCGACTTGTACACGCGGTTCTGCACGGGCTCCGAGGCATCGAAGTACTCGGCCCGGCGGGCGGGCAACGCCGTCGCCTTCTGCAGGGAGTCAGTAGCACCGAGCAGGGAACTCAGACGGGTTTCCGGGGCCGCACACCCTGCACCCTCCTCCCCAGGACCCAGGCTGGTGCTCACCCGCAGCAGCCGCAAAGCCTGGTCGTAGTTCTCGTGGCGGAGTTCCAGCTCGCCACACTCGCACCACACGCTTGCCAGGTCATCCACCTGCTTGAAGCTCACTTTGGTGGCCTTCTCCAGAATGACACGGGCCTGCGGGCGGGCGGAGGCCAGGGCTGAGACCCTGCCTGCCTGGCGCTCAGCTCCTTAGAGTGCACATGCCTGCATGCTCATGCAGATGCACCTGTGCCCCCGGGTCCTCCGGCCAAGGACCCGTCTGTACTCATGCACACACAACATGCTCAAGCAAATACACACAGGCCATGGCACTCACATCGTCCAGCTGCCCGTTGTCCTCGTAAAACTTGGCAAATGCAACCCACAGCGTGTGGGGCTTGCCTGTAGCCTTGAAGGGGTCCACCGTCTGCACGGCCTCCGTGTACGTGTTGATGATCTGGGCGGGAGGGCTGGGTCAGGTGTGGGTGGGGCTAGGCAGATGAGGGCGGAGGGGGGACAGGGCTCCGGGGCCGGGGCCATCA